GGTCTGCAGAGTGTACTTGGCTATCTCTATATTGGTATTCAGCAAGTGGATTCATTGACTGCTTCCCAGATGACTATTCAGTTCCTGTATACATCCACTGGTTCCAACAGATAGGTGTGTAGAGTTCTTCTAGAACACTGTGCATGAATGACTGGTGGTGTGGTTGCAGAAGGGGCTGATGAGTTGGGCCTCCAGGGTTTATCTTCCTTGAAGGGTGGCTTCTGGTTTAATTTTCTGCATCTCATGACCGAAGTTGGATGTACTTGTACTTTTTTGGTTTTTTGAGACAGGGTTTCTCTGTGTAGCTTTGGAGCCTATCCTGGCAGTCGCTCTGGAGACCAGACTGGCCTCTAACTCACAGAGATCCGCCTGCCTCTGCCTCTCGAGTGCTGGGATTAAAGGCGTGCGCCACCAACGCTTGAGGTACTTGCACTTTTGTTGGAAAGTTTTAGTTCATGTGGACATAGTCTGACCCCAGTCTTTTTGTTTTTGAATTAGTGAGTGTACGCCATTGTTCTTATTTTGTTAGAGGACAATTTGCAGCAGTCTTTTCCTTTACTATGTGGATCCTATGTACTGAACTTGCTCAGTTTTTATAGGAAGTGCCTTGCTGAGTCATCTCACAGGCCTTGCCTCCGGTTTTTACTTAATTATAAATCTTCAATCCTAGCTTTCAAAATCCTTCAAATTTGGGCATTACTTAATTTAATTTTTTTTTTTTTTTTTTGAGGCAGGGTCTTACTTCAATCCTGGAACTCATTATGTAGATTAGGCTGGCCTGAACTAACACAGATGGGCTGTCCTTACCCTCCCTAATGCTGAGATTAAAGGTCTGTCCCTTTAAAAAAAAAAATCAAAAAAAAAAAAATCCTGGCCTGCAGTGGTGGCCCATGCTTTTAATCACAGTAATCAAGAAGCAGAAGCAGCTGTATCTCTTGATTTCGAGACCATTCCTAACCCTAACTCACTACAAAGTGAGTTCCAGGACAGCCAGGGACACACAGAGAAACCCTGTCTTAAAAGCAAAAACAAATAAGAAATCCTGTTACCTTCTACAACAGAACTCCTTCCACTCTGAACATCTTGTTCTTGTATGAATTTGTTTTAAAACAGAAAAGTTTGTGTGTGTACTTCTGTCTGTCTGTGTATGTATAAGACATAGGTGTGTAGGTGCCCAGGGAGGGCAGAAAAACATATCAGATCTCTGGAGCTTGAGTTACAAGCAGTTGTGACCCACTTAATATAGGTTTGAACTATGGTCCTCTGGAAGAGCAGTATTTTTAACTGCTGGGCCATCTCTCTGGTCCTGTTTACTTTTGTTTTTCTCTTTTGGTTTTTAACAGAAGGTTCTTACTATGTAGCCTATTGTATGTTTGAACTTGCAGTCTTTGCCTTGGCCTTTCAAGTGTTGGAGTTACAGGTGTCTGTCATTATACTCTGCTCCCTGTTTTTATGTATTTTCTTTTATGGTTGCCCTTTCTTACTCTCATCCCTATTCACCCAGTTTTCTTGTAATCAGTGTCCAATTTATATGCTCCATGCCCTTCTTTTACCTCAAATCTACCCTGTTTTCATTCACTGTCTTGAATCAAAAGCATTCTTTCCCCTAAATTTCTATAGTTGCTTATATTTTTTATATTTCGCACCTTTAAAGTTCCAGTTTGCATCATAGTTATTGTGTGTTAAACTGTAATTGAAAACAGGAACCATATCTCTTAATCATTTCAATGATGTTAACACTGTTCATTGTGTGTGATAGATGGTTAATAACTATTAAATGAGTCAACTTGGTGATTTCTGCCAGTGACTGAATGTTCACAAGTAATTAGGATGCTGACATTTTTATCAATTCTGTGACATGAATATTAGTATAAACTTATTGCATCAAATTGTACTGATAGTAGACCTTCATTTATCTTTCATCTTTCTAATCTGAAGTTATACATGTTTGTCTAGTTGTTATCATAATATATAATTTTCTCCACTTAATAGCTTTAACTCACTGGTTCCTTACTATTAACTAGGACAAGTCCCAAATATAACATGTATATGATTCTTTAATTCTTGCAACACCAGTGAAGCAGGCTTTTCTCCCATGAGAATTCCTTTTTACAGATACTGGTGTTCAGACAGAGGGGACAAGTAACATTTTAGGAACTGAAGAAATGGTTCACATTAAGAGCACTTGATTCTTTTGTAGAGGACCTGTGTTCAGTTCCTAACACTGCAGAGCATTACAGTTCCAGAGAACCTGACACCCCTCCTGGCCTCTTATAGGCATTGAATACACTAGGTGCACAGAAAGACATGTAGGCAAAACAACCATGCACATAAAATAAAAGAAGCAGTATCCATCATATGTTAGGAGTTGATGTTTCTTCTGAAGACTGAAGTTGCCTTTGTGGAGAACACAATCATTGAGTAATTGAACGTGAAGCTCTATAAATAGACTAATAGGCACTCAGAATGGGGAAAAGCTGGTTTTAGGAGTAAAAGTTTTAGCAAATAAGGGTATCTGAGCTGGGCTTTGAAAAATGAAACTTCATAAGGTGTCAAGATTGTCATTTAGTAGAAGTAGCAAAAACAGTTCTACAGAGTATGGTAGATTGGTGGGCTTAGGCAGTGATTAGTAGTCCTTTGAAGCTGTAGCATAGAGGCAGGGATTGTGAGACATTGGCAAACAAAATGGTATGAGCAGTTTCAAGGGCTAGAGTTGTAGCTCAGTGGTAAAAGAGTTGCCTAACATGCAAAGCCCTGGATTTGATCCCCTGCATGGTGTGTAAGCAATTTCATTTAGCAAGTTTTTATCATATTTTTTTAAATAGAAAAAAACCCGTAAATTTCACATAAAAGGACAAATGCCTAGAATAGCCAACAAAAATTTTAAAATGAATGATGGGGAGATTTTCTTTGCAATTTAAAAATATCCTGTCTTTCCATAGTACATGACTAAAATAAATTAGTTCAATTTAATGAAATAAGAATGTTTTTTAATTGAAAATTCATTCAATATATTCTGATCATGCCTCCCCCCATCTCCCCTCAGATTCTCCTCACCTCTCCATCCATCTACCTCTACTGTTGTAATTTAAGAAAATCGCCATGAGAGAGAAAGATGCCATGTAACAGGGTTTGAGCAGAGGGATTTTTTTATAGGGAAAGGGATCATAAAAAGGGGAAAGGGAACTGGGGAGACCAGCCTCTGGAGACAGGAGCAGCAGGAGGGGGGGGAGGGGGAAAAGAGGGAGAGGGGGAGAAAGGTAGGTGGGAGGGAGGGAGGATGGGAAGTGGGCAGGGCCCTTTTAAAAGGGAACATAGTGGATAGGCACAGGTGGTGCTCTTAGTGGCAGCAGCTGAGGGTATATCCTGTCAGCCCCAAGGACAGGCCAGTACAGATGCCTGAATACTAACATCTATGCCTTCTTTTTAGAAAATAATCAGACAAATAAAAAAGGGAAACAAGCTGGGCAGTGATGGCACATGCCTTTAATCCTCGAACTGGGGAGGCAAAGGCAGGTGGATCAAAGCCATACCGGTCTACTGATTTCCAGGACATCTAGAGCTACATAGAAAGACCCTGTCTTGAAAAAAAAACAAACAAAAAAGGGAGGGTGGGTGAACAAACCAGAATAAAATACCCCAACAAAATGAGAAAGTAAAAAACATACAGACAAATAAACAAAACCCATAAAAAACACAAAACCCAAAATTGTAATATGCAAGCAAAAAATCAGTAAGATAAAAGATGCCCAGACAAAGCAATATGAGACAAAACAGTCCACACAAACATCATTGGCTTTGTTTTTGTGTTGGACATGTGTAGTTTATGTGTAGTTTGTATACCCAGTGAGACTGCATTAGAGAAAACTGGCTTTTCCTTTACTAGCTGTTGTCAATTGGAGATCGAGACAACCGGACAATGGGTAGAGAGTGAGTCTTTGGAACACTGAGTTCAGAATGGGATGTCTTCCTCAAACCCCTCCCCTCAGGACTCAAGGAGCTCTGCAGAAGAGGAGGTGGAAAGATTGTAAGAGGCAGAGGAGATGGAAGACACCAAGGTATTTTGAGTAGATGATGCCACACCCAGCTGCACACCCTGAAGACAGTCTTTCTTATTTTACTTGTAGAAGTAAATTCCAGATGAGCATAAAACTTAAGTGTGCTGAACATTGAAGGAAAACGTAAGAGACTGAGTGTACACATAAATCTCCCTTAGCCCTTGGGGCACTCCATCTTACATTTGTTTTCTGTCTTAGGACTGTTGAAGGGGAGAAGTCCTCATGTTACGGGGGCTTCTGGATCACGTCTTTCCATTTCTGTGCATAATGGCCTCTTCCTCAGGTTTGCCTCAGGGCCTCTGAGGGCTTTTTGTGTTATTTTCCTTTTCAGTACTGATGTTTTGAATCTAGGGCCTTGAGCATTTGAGGAAAGTATTCTGCCACTGGTATATATTCTCAGTTTCTCCTTTTATTTAAAAAAAAATTTTTTTAGGCAGGGTCTTACTAAATTGCCTTGGCTGGCGTTGAATTCACTCAGAAGCAGAGGAGCTCTGTAATCTAGGTGTTCATACAACTACCTCTTAGGGTCCATCTTGTTACCTGATCTCACGAGAGCTCAAAACATTTAGATAGGTTTTACAATTTATTTATAATTATATTTAGTTATGCATGCTTGTGGGGGGGGCGGTATGCACATGGGAATGCTTGTGGAGGCTAGAAGAGGGCATTGGATTCCCTTGGACTGGAGTTACAGGAAGTGAGCCACCTGGTGATGCAGGTGCTAAGAATTGAACTCAGTTCCTCTGGAAGAGCAGCAAGTACTCCTAACCTCTGAGCCATCTCTTCAGCCCTTCTAGATAAATTCTTTATTTTTCTGAAACAATATGCTTTTAGAATCAGTGTGTTGCAGTCCATTTTATGTGTTGCCTAGTATAAATCTTTTGCTTTTTTTATATTAGCAATAAGCATAATTTGACATGCATGTCTGTTTTGTCTTTTCAGGTGCCATTTGGATAGTACTTTAGCGGCACGATGTACTCTGAATGGCGGTCACTGCATTTGGTGATTCAGAATGATCAAGGTCATACCAGTGTGCTACACAGCTATCCAGAGAGTGTTGGGCGAGAGGTGGCGAATGCAGTGGTCCGGCCTCTTGGGCAGGCGTTAGGCACCTCTTCAGTGGCTGGTAGTGAGAGTTTGTTAAAAACTGACAAAGAAGTAAGTGTTTCTTCATGTCATTCCATTGGGTGAAAATAGGAATTGTTTACTAGACATTTTATTTAGTATTGACCTTTTAAAAGCTAGTAGTTAAAATTGTTTTATTATTTTTAATTTTGTGTATATATGTAAGTCTGTGTATGAGTATGTACACATGAGTGCAGGTACCTGTGGAAGCCAGTGTTGTTGGATCCCTCTGCAGCTGGAGTTGGGGGCAGTTGTGAGCACAGGACATGGTATGTAGGAATCAAAGTTAGGTCCTCTGCAGGAGCATTATGCACTGTTACAGTGCTGACTTTTTAATGGATTGCTGCCTGATGTAGTGAGAGTTCTAGTTTTTATATCACTCAGGTTGTATGCTGGGACTTGGGGCCTGTGAAGATTTAAAGAAAGTCTTGTACCTTTTTGCTGTTGAAGCTTCTCACTGGTCACACCTAGTTCTGCATGTGAGCTAAGTAATCGAGACAGAGAGTCATGTGTCAGGCCCTTAAGCACTAGGTTCAGTCTTCAGATTTCTGTTTCTGTTTAGAAGTCCCTATCCTAGTTATGGATACCATTGTTAAAATGAAACACTAAGACCCAAAAAAGCAAGTTGGGGAGGAAAGGGCTGATGCAGAGACCATGGAGGAATACTGCTTACTGGCTTGCTCAGTCTGTTTTCTTTCTTTCTTTCTTTCTTTCTTTCTTTCTTTCTTTCTTTCTTTCTTCCTTTCTTTCTTTTGTGGCTTCGGAGGCTGTCCAGGCACTTATTGCTCTTGTAGACCAGGCTGGTCTCGAACTCACAGAGATCCACTTGCCTCTGCCTCCTGAGTGCTGGGATTAAAGGTGTGTGCCACCACCGTCCAGCTTCAGCCTTCATTCTTAGAGAACACAGAACCACCAGCCCAGGGTGGAACACTCCCCCATCAATCACTAATTAAGAAAATGCTCCACAGGCTTGCTTAAAGCCTGGACTTATGGAGACGTTTTCTCAACCAAGGTTCTCTTGTGTCAAGCTGACATAAAACTAGCCAGCACAGTCCCCATCCCTGCTTATAGGTGGACACTGACTGAAAGCTTCACTTATGTAAGATTTTCAGGCTACACATATGTGCTGAGCTTGAACTCTCCTGTGTCCCTCACTCTAACTGGGTTAGCCTGGCTTCAAGGTTTAAGTGCTGCAGAAGAGCACTTATTGGTTGTAAGCCTAGGTAGTTGGAACTGGGTTTGAAATTGCTATTCCTAAACTTGCTGTCCAAAGGGATCTTGGGATGACTTGTCTGGGAGATAGTTTTCTGTTCATAGGTTCAGGGCACTAAGATGACATTAAACTTCAGTGGGAGTTCTAAAGGAACCCTGAGAATGGTGTGATTCTTTGTAAGAGTAGAACTTTGTAATCTCTGCTTAAGAAAGCTTATGCAGGCTTTTTAGGCCTATCTTCAGGATCACCTCCCTCCTCCCCTCCCATTTTTGTTTTGTTTGTTTGTTTGTTTGTTTGGTGGCAGGGTTTCACTGACTGGTCTAGAATTCACTTTGTAGACCAGGCTGGACTTGAACTTGGAGAGATCCACTTGCCTCTGTCTCCCAAATGCTGGGATTATAGGTATATGCATTATTATTATTACTACTACTACTATTATTATTATTTGTTGTTGTTGTTGTTAACATGAAAAAAATAAAAGACCCAGAGACAGATATTGGGTCCAAGCTTCAACCTGAATATCAGAAAAGCAGCCAGCCACTAGATCTCTCATTTAGCTCAGGCTGAAAAGGGCTGATCCATGCACGATTTCTTCACCAAGTCTCAAACTGCTGCCTCGCCTCAGTGTGGCTGGAGAACAAATGCCTCATACTGACTACTGAAGTCCCTGCTTTTGTCTTTTATAACCTTCTAGTGCTGGGATTATAAAGGCATGTGATCTGTTACTGTTTTAGACTGATTCAGTCTCATGTGGCTTTGAACTCTTAATCTTGAGTCCTAGGATTAAAGGTGTGTACAACCACCTCCTAGCTTCTGGCAGCAGGGATTAAAGGTGTGTATCACCACTACCTGATGTCTATGGCTTGAGACTGACTTTGCTTTTCTGAATCCTCAGTCAAGCTTTAATAAATCATAAGTAATATATCACTACAAGTAGTAGTAGTAGTAGTAGTAGTAGTAGTAGTAGTAGTAGTAGTGTTTAAAAGACAAGGTTCATTCTATAGATCAGATTGGCCTAGAACTCCCTGTGTAAACAAAGTAGTCTTAAACTTGCAGTCATTCTCCTGTTTCAGCCTCTCAAGTGTTAGGATTACAAGTATGAGCCACCATGCCTACCTAGTTCTTCTTACTTTTGCTCATTCATGAAATATCAAACTTAGCTGAAACTTAAGCCTTCAGCTTCAGAGGCAGTTTGTTTATCCTGCCTTGACCAAAGAGTAGCAAAGGTTGAAGTTCTTCAGTCTTTGTAGTTTTCTCAGAGTACTCTAACTTCCTCTGAGCACCCACATAAGCTCTGGCTTTAGTTATGATCCCCTTGCTGCCTTCTTAGATGAGATGACATTTGATAGATAGATAGAAAGTGATCTAGTGTAGCCCTTTGTTATTATCTTTACCATCCTCAGGAGATGATGAGAGGTACTGCTTTCAAATTTTGTTATTGTGTGTGTGTGGGGGGGGGGAGAGGATGGGGAGCAGGGGTCATGTGTGCCCTGGTGCACATGTGGAGATCGGAGGGCAGCTTTTGGAAGTCAGTTCTCTTTTTCCACTTTTGGTCCTCACAATCAAACTCAGGCTACAGATGATCAGCAAATGGTTTTACCCACTGAGCCATCATGCATACTTTTTTTTTTTTTTTAGAAGAATTAAACTGCTATGACATTATCACCAAAGCTAACTTGTCTTCTTTCTTTCATCTAATAATTAGGAACCTGTAGCTCCTTTGCCCCTTTCTTTGGGGGTGGGGGGAGCTTAGTTTTTTTTTTTTTTTTTTTTTTTTTTTGAGACAGGGTTTCTCTGCAACAGTCCTAGCTGTCCTGGAACTCTAGATTTGTAGACCAGGCTGGCCTCGAACTCATTGAGATCCACCTTTTGCCTGCCTCTGCCTCCCCAGTGCTGGGATTAAAGGCCTACACCACTGCCGCTGCTACCACCACCTGGCCTGTAGCTCCTTTTAACTTTTCTTTCTGCGGCTAGGGAAATGACTGTGTAGTTCAGGCTGCCTTGAATTTGAGATATTTTTTAAAAATAATTTATTTAACATACATTGGTGTGAAGGTATCAGGTCCCCTGGAACTGGAGTTACAGACACTTGTGAGCTGCCATGTGGGAGCTGGGAATTGAACTTGGGTCCTCTGGAAGATCAACCAGTGCTCTTAACCACTGAGCCTTCTTTTCAGCCCTTGAACTTGAGATCTTAGTTGGGAAAGTGCTTGCTGTGTGCGGAACATAGGGATCTAAGTTTAATCCTTAGAACCCATGTAAGCTGGGCATGGTGCACACACACTTAATTCTACCACTCCAGAGGCGGAAGCTTGCAGAGCTCTGAGTTTGAGGCCAGCCTGGTCTACATAGAAAGTTCTAGGCCAGCCAGGGCTAAATAGTGGGACCTCTACAATTACATAGGAGAGAGGAACAAGAACTTGATAGTGGAAACAGGTCATATACATAGCTAAGGGATGTAATCAGTAAACTGCTACTGGAAAACAGGTTTCACACATAGCTAGGGATGTAATCAGTAAACTCTAAATGCATGGGAGAAATTGTGTCCAATAAGTGATCAGATAGTGGGAAGTAAATCCCAAGTTCGTTACAGAGAGGAATAAGCTACAGGAAGAATCTACAGCAAGAAACAGCCAATTCATTCACAACCCTATATTCCAATACGTCTTTCATCCTGGTTTAATCCTCCAGAAGGATTCTTAATTCTTACCGATTGGTCTTGTGAAATGAGGCTGATTAATTACTGTTTGATCTTGCAGCTTGTAGCAGGGTCCCTGCCTTGGAGAGAGAGAAAAAAAGAGCCCATACAAAAAGAAAGAAAAAGCATAGTGGCACATATACTTTAATCACTTTCATTCCAGCCCTGGGGATGAAGAGACAGGAGGGTTCCTGGGGCTCACTGGCCAGCCAACCTAGCCTAAAGGTTAGTCATACCCCCTGTCTCAACCGATAAGACGGACAGCACCTGAGCAGTGACACCTGAGGTAGACCTTTGGCTTATATATGCAGGCACAGGCACACATGCATATATCCACACGTACATGAGCACATTCACACCCTGTTCTCTTATGCGGCTTAACATCCAACACTCCCGCTAAGAATTTGTCACAGCTTCATTGTGGTTACAGTTTTCTTTAGTATTTATTGCTGCTAATTATAAATTGCCTACCTTTAGCCTTTTGTAGTTCTTTTTGAGCTAAAGACGTTTAATATGAGCTTGGTATAGTGGCATTCCCTTGCAGTCTCAGCCTTTGCCTTAGGCAAGAGGACCCTGAGTGTCAAACAGCCAGAGCATTCTAACAAGACCCTGTTCCAGTTCCACCTATCCTCTACCCCCAAATTTCAACATATGTATTTATCTTGTCAGATTCAAATTAGGAAGTCTTTAAAGACTTTTTGAATCCTGAATTCTGTGGAGCAGACTGGCTATCTTTGTGATGTTTACAGATGATTGCCCATTATTTGTATTATTATTATTATTATTATTATTATTATTATTATTATTATTATTGAGATAAGATCTTTCTGTTTAGTTCAGGCTGTCTTGGACTCAGTGTGTAGCTCAGGCTGCCTTGCACTTGAGCTCTCCCTGCTTTAGCATTGTGAGTGCTGGGATCATAGGCATGAAGCATCAACCACCTAAATAAAAATTTTGGCTGGGTGTTGGTGGCGCATGCCTTTAATCCCAGCACTCGGGAGGCAGAGGCAGGCAGATCTCTGTGAGGTTGAGGCCAGCTTGGTCTCCAGAGCAAGTGCCAGGAAGGCTCCTAAGCTACACAGAGAAACCTTGTCTCGAAAACCCCCCCCAAAAAAAAAAAAAATTGGCAGGCTGGTGGTATAGCTCAGGAGTAGAGTGCTTTTCTGCTGTAGATAGGGCCCTGGGTTTAATTCCTAACAACACAAAACAGTAGCAGCAACAACTCGAACTTGGTGGGTGTGGCCTTTGGTAAGCCAGTGGCATCATTTCCCTGTTAATGTCTTGTGTGGTATTTTGGCCACTTGTAAGTCTGGCCATTCTACAGCCCATAGATACCTCTGTGCCAGAAACACCTGTTAGTGGCTTGGTGAGACACTTCAAAATTTGTGGTTGGAAAACTGGATTCATGTTTCTCATTGGAAGACAAGGTTCGTCTTCAGCTTCACTATTTTTATAAATCAGTGGTGGGTTGAATTTCTTATTTTTCTGATGTATGAAATGAAGCTAGTTTACCCTGTTATACCAGGGTTATTGTGGTGGTGACATTAATGAAGGTACTATTTTAGCTGCAATGATTGTATAATTGTCACTCTCTTCAAAATAAGACTGTTAGTAAAGGAATGAAGTTTATCTGGCTTGATTGGTCTTTTTGAGCAGCCTGGTTCCAGTGATCATGCGTCCTTTTTGTTAAGTGTTTACTGATCATCTGCTTAATGTTTGTCCCAGATTTTTTGTCTGGAATTCACTTTAACCTTTTAGGCTTTGGTGTCTAAGAATATAGTTTCATTTTCTTTTCCAGTTTGGGAGATTTTTTTCCTTTGTCTTAGAATGTTATTTTTCGAAGCACAAACAAGAATGTGTTTTGGGTGGTGGGGTTAAGTGTGGCTAGATGTCTGGTTAAGACCTCACCCATTTAGTCCCTCTTTACCTGATGTGCTCTCACCCGCCCATTTTAGTGTTACATTTTTTGACAGAGAAAACAAGTTGTATAAGTTGAATGATTCATTCCTGTCATTTGTTCCTATTGCATAATCTGAAGATGGAGTGTAATTGAGTTTATATATTTGATTTCTTAACTGATACATATTTACATATGCAAATTGAGCAGTTAAAAATCCTACATTTTCTATTTTTCTAATATCTGTAGAAAATTGAAAGGATCATTTCATAGAGGGAATGGTAAAAGGGTAAAAGTTTGCATAGGCTTAATATTTAAAAATAATGGATTTAATTTCTCCTGAAATTTGCTTGGCAAATATGACATGAATATGTCTAATACATAGAAAGTATGTGTCTAGAGTAAATTTGATGTATATGTTGAGATGACTGTAACTTCAACTTAAAGCATCTGGGTACTAGGAGATATTATATTTTAAATTAATCTGATGAAGTACAGATAAAGATGTACAATCTTTGTGAATATTTATTTTTGCTTAGGTAAAATGGACCATGGAAGTGATTTGCTATGGACTGACCCTTCCATTGGATGGAGAGACTGTAAAATATTGTGTTGATGTATATACAGATTGGATTATGGCTTTGGTGTTGCCGAAAGATTCTATTCCATTACCAATTATTAAAGAGCCTAATCTATATGTTCAAAGTATATTAAAACATCTACAAAATCTTTTTGTACCAAGGTAAGTTACACCTATCTGGTCATTATCAAGGTTATAATAAAGTATTTAAAATATTAGTTTATTAAATATAGATGCTGATTTTATTGTTAGTCCCTGGAACTTTACTTATTCACTTATGGATTCTATGAATATGACTAAAGGAGATAGGCTTACAGGGTTATGTAAGGTTTACCTGGAGGTTCTTGTTTGTTTGTTTGTTTGTTTGAGATAACATCTCACTGTGTAGCCTAGACTGGTCTTGAACTTTCTGTTTACAATCAAATTTACAATCCTCTTGTCTTAGGCTTTTTTGAGTTCTGAGATTACAGGCATGTTCTACCACTCTTGGATTTACCACAATTTTTTAACAGTTGTATCTTTATATTAAATACTTTTTGGCCTTGTTTCTGAACTCTGTAGATGTTGGATATTAAAATATGTGATGGTGACATATTTCCTTCCCTTGTTAAACATTTCTCAGTGGTTAAAGGTGCTGGCCATTAAACCCAGTGATCAGAGTATGATCTCCGGGGCCCATATGGTAGAAGGAGAGTAGGAAACTTGGGGGTGTCCTCCATCCTCCACGTGTGCACACACATGCATACCAATTAAATATTTAAAATAAATATCCAACTTGTGCATATTTTTGTATATCATAATTCCCCCCCTTTTTTTTCTCTCGAGACAAGGTTTCTCTGTATAGCTTTGGAGCCTGTCCTGGAATTTGCTTTGTAAACCAGGCTGGCCTGGATCTCAGAGATCCTCCTGTCTCAGCCTCTCAAGTGCTTGGGATTAAAGGTGTACACCACCACTGCCTGGCATATATCATAATTCTTATCTCCACATACACCCAAAGCAACTGTTCTTTTCTTTCTTTCTTTCTTTCTTTCTTTCTTTCTTTCTTTCTTTCTTTCTTTTCTCTTTTTTTTTTTTGGTTTATCGAGACAGGGTTTCTCTGTGTAGCTTTGGAGCCTATCCTGGCACTCGCTCTGGAGACCAGGCTGGCCTCAAACTCACAGAGATCTGCCTGCCTCTGCCTCTTGAGTGCTGGGATTAAAGGCGTGCGCCACCAACACCCAGCACAACTGTTCTTTTCTAACATGATCCTATGGAGTATGAAGGCATAGAATTAAGCAAACAGGTCAGGCTTGGTAGCTCATGACTACAATCCCAGCACTTTAGAGGTGGAGTCAAGATCAGGAGTTGAAGACAGTCTTGTCTACAGAAGGAGTTAAAGCCCAACCTGAACTACATCATGAGACCCTATCTCAAAGAAACCAAAAAAGACTGGTGAGACAGATCAGTGGGTAAAGATACTGTCACCAAGCCTGATGAACTGAGTTCTATTCTTGGAGTCTACATGGAAAAAGGAGAGAACTAACTGCTGCTAGTTGGCCCCTTACTTTTCACATGAGTGACATGGCATGTATATGTCCTCCCTCCCAACATACACAAATGAAAATTTTTTCTTTTGTTTTGTGAGACAGGGTTTCTCTGTGTAGCTTTGGAGCCTGTCCTGGAACTCCATCTATAGATAAACCAGGCTGACCTCTAACTCACAGAGACCCACCTGTCTCTGCCTCCTGAGTGCTGGGACTTAAGTTGTGAGATACCACCCACTGGCACCAGTGTAAAATTTTGAAATTAAAAGTTTGAAATAAAATTTAAAATCTCCTTTAAAAAAGTAAGCTAACTAAAAAAAGAAGTAAAGATATTGGGTTTTTTGTTTGTTTTTTTTTAAAGATGAAGTCTTACTGTAGATCCCTGGCCTGAAACTCACTATATAGGCCAGGCTGGCCTTGAACTCATAGAGATCTACATACCTGTGCCTCCCAAGTGCTGGAATTAAATCTGAGTGCCTTAGTACCTGGTGAGCAAACTGGAAATTACAGACATTCATGGTAAACCAAAGGATTACCCTTGAAAGTTTGTTACTGATTTCTTCTCTGTATTCTGAAACAAAGGTGTTAAATGCCAAAATGCAAATTATTTATCTTTTTTTTTTTTTTTTGGTTTTTTTTGAGACAGGGTTTCTCTGTGTAGCTTTGGAGCCTATCCTGGCACTCTCTCTGGAGAGCAGGCTGGCCTCGAATTCACCTCCCGAGTGCTGGGATTAAAGGTGTGTGCCACCAACGCCCGGCTTGCAAGTTATTTATCTTAATATTTTTTTCCTAATTGTTAAGAATGTTACATTATATTCCTGTGTTCATGCATTTAATCCCAAGACTCATGAGGTAGAATCAGGTGGATCTCTGTGAGTTGGTTTGCCAGGGCTACATAGAGAGACCCTATCTCAAAAAACAAAGACAACAAAAGAATGTTACATCTGAGGCTAAAGCTATAGCTCAGCCAGACTATTTACCTGTATACCCAAGAGCTATGGCTTCCATCTTTAGCATCTGCATATATCTGTATGGCAGATCTCTGAGAAATACAGAAACAAGTGTGTAGAAAAAAGCAGTAGTTCCTCCACCAGTTCATAAGAGTGTTTTCTGAAATTTTGTTTGTGAAACAGGCTGTGGGGTTCATCTCAGTATGGAAAAGTTTTTGCTAGAGCTTTCAGTCTGTCTGGTGAATTACTCAAAAACCAGCTCTTTAAATTTTTAGCATTGTAAATTTAGAAGGAAATTTTTGTTTAGAAAATTCAAATTGAAAAAGAGAAGTCTATTAGAACTCTGTTCTATGGATCAGATATAAACTCCCCCATACAAAGTGTTATCTAGGGCCAGAAGGCCCTAACTAGACTAGCCACTGTTAATTTTGTATGAGTCCTGCTCTTTAGTCAGACTTGTAAACAGTTCCATAAGTCCCCTCAGAGCTCTTTTCTGTCTTCACCTGTCCTTATGTCATTTTCTTTCCCTCCCTGACTATTGCCTGACCATCTAACTTGCTCTTCCTGGTTTCCAGTAAAGTCTGTCTTACAAGTCTTATATGACAACACTGATCTCTGTGATCACATCTCCTTGGAATTTGCTTGGTACTTCCCATTTTACTCTCTTATCTCTTATTGTTATGTTTCATTTTTCATCTAACCAACTTGAACACAGGAACTCAGCTGGCTTTCTGTATTTGGGGGCATCTATAAACAGTGTAATGCTGAACTGGCCTTAGGTACGGATTAAATGTTTGTTGCTTGTATTGTTGGTCTTAAGTGGAAACATCAGGAAATGTGTATTTGCAGCTTAGCAGGCTTGTCCAAAATGAAATTGTTTTAATCTTTCTTGCCATCCCATCAGAAGATTGATTTACAATATTTTTCCCTGTGTGGATGAAATGATCTTGTTTGGAATGTTGTCACTGTATCTCGTTATCTCTTTCATTTACCATCTTTTAATGCTCAATTTGTATTGCTGAAAACAGTAATGAAATTTGAATAAATTGTGCTTTTGTTTTTACCTTTTTCTCTTTGATAATTAGCCTGTTTCTCAGGAGTGTGTGTGCATGTAGGTCAGTGAATTCTGAAAGGTACTGACTAAAGTATTAGAGTTCTCTTGGCCAATGATAGTATATGAAGAATAGGTGAATGTTTTCAATGCTGTATATTGGGACTTCAATTACTAGCAGTTTCAGTTTAAAAAAATTTAGGTAGTCATCCAGTTGTATCATAGCTTGCTTACTTAGTTGTTTTTATATAAACTGACTCTCAAAATAGAGGAAACTGCCTTTACCTTTTGTTAAAAGTCAATATGACTTTCTCTTTTGCCCATTAGTCTGGTTTTTTTCATAATTTAGTTAAGAATGTACTATCTGTTGAAACTGGAGTTTTAATTGCTTAGATATACTACACTATAAGAAATGGAGTATCTTTCAGAAATGCAGTGTCCCTCCCCACAAGCCATGTGCACATGTTTCCTAAAGCAGTGGTCCACAATTTATTTGTTTATTTATTTCCTTTATTATTTTTTTTTTGGTAAAAAGCTAGCTAGTAAATATTTCTTATATTACAGGCCATATGGTGTTGTAACTCCTCAGCTCTGTGGTAGAGCAGAAAAGTGGACATAGATTACTAAATTAAGAAACAAGAACTTTACTTACAAAGGCAGCTGGGAAGATGGCTCAGCAATTAAGTACACTGACTATTCTTCTAGAGGACCTGGGTTTGATTCCTAACACTCCACATGGTGGCTCACAACCATCTGTAACTCTAGTCCAGGGGATCTAATGTGTTCTTATGGCCTCTGTGGGCAATGTACATACCTGGTACACAGAGATACCTGCAGGCAGAATGCCCACATAAAAATAAATAAATAAAAAATAGAGTGTTACAAAGGCAGGTGTTAGTCAAGTTCACCTCTAGATGAATGTGGGATGCACATCTTCCTATTCATGAATGTGTCTGTGTATGCATGGGTAAATGTGGATGGACCCACCTCCAGAGGTCAGAGGAGGAAATTGGGTGTCTTCCTCTGCCTTATTCCCTTGAGACAGAGTCTTTTGCAAACCAGAAGCTTGCCAGCTTGCCATTTCAGCTAAGTTGCCTGGGTAGTGAGCTTCCAGAATCCAATGTCTCCACCATTGGGGTTGCAGGTATGCACAGCCATGCCTAGCTTTTTATGTAGGTGCTAGGGATTCAAACTTAGGTCCTTGGGGTTCAAACTTATAGTGAGTGATCTTGCCTATTGAGCCATCTTTCTGGTCCAGCTTTGACTTCGTAAGGGAACATTTAGTTATTTAGTTGTGCCATTTGTGTGCAACTTTAAGGTAGGGTCCAGTTTTCTGGGTTATGGCCAATGTCTAAGGAGTGGGAGTTTTAGTAGATGATTTGCTGACATTTCTTCAGGATACTCCAGCTCTTTGTGTCAAGTCACAATTTATAGAAATTGACTTTAGATGACTTTAGAGTTTATATCAGTATTGTGTTGGGTTTATTGTGAGAAAGCTGGAGGCCAGGTCACTAGTTGTTAAAGCTGTTCTTTAAATTCTCAGGTGGGGCATCTTGGAAAGTGAGGCAAGGGCTAGGCTCTGAACCTCTAGCTTTCTCTTCTACCCCATTTTATGGAATAGTTGTCTTCTTTCCTCTCTCTTTCAAGACAGGATCTTACTGTGTAGCTCTGGTTGCCCTGTTACTCACTCTGTAGACCAAGTTGGCCTAGAACCCACAGAGATCCACTTGCCTCTGCCTCCCAAGTGCCGATATTGAAGGCCTGTGCAACTATCCACCAAATCTTCTCTTAAGGAGCAAATGTGTCCTGTGGACTAAAGAGAATTTTGCAACTGTTGTTTGAGGAGCCCTTGGATCCCTTTGAAATGCTGTGTTTTTATTAAAGCAATGGTAGCAGGTGCTCTTCTCTGAGGAAATGCTGTCATGTCTTGTCAATATTGGACACTCCTTTGGACCTTGTAACACATACTAGCTTTAGGGTGACTGTGAAAACTGTAAACACTTGAATTCTGTGAATGTGTGCTTCAGAAAATTGGAAAAGGATATAAGGGCTTTTCTACTCCAGAGATAACTAGGTATGTACTAATCTAGCAGAAACTAGTTGAATATCTGCTCTTATGTGCCAGACACATTTCAGAAAGAAAATCCAGAGGTGAAGTTTACATTCCAGTTTTTCCTCTTTTCTCACAGAAGAGGTAGGTGAAGATCTCAGGGTGCTGAACTGAATAGTGGGGAAAACTAGCTGTAAACTGAGGAGAGTTGAACTTAGCCCTGTCCACTGGTACTTAGGCAATGTCATTGGACCGACCACTGTTCTGCATCAGTAAGCTTCCTGTTCTTTGGCTGTTGCTGTCTCTTTTCCAGGCCTGTCAGTGATATCTGTCTGTCTTCTTCAGACAGGAACAAGGCTCCAGTCAGATCCGACTATGCTTACAGGTTCTGAGAGCCATTCAGAAATTGGCCCGTGAGTCATCCATCATGGCTCGAGAAACCTGGGAAGTCCTACTGTTGTTTCTTCTGCAAATCAATGACATTCTTCTGGCTCCACCAACTGTTCAAGGTTTGTTAATGAACTTTTTTGCCTTATATTTCTGAATTCCAAATATAGTTTGCATTTAAACTTAGTGAGTGATAAGACTCAGTGGAATTTTTAAATTTTGGTAAAACTGTTGACAAACTAAAGTTACTGATTTATACCAGAAAGATACAGTATGGGCTGGATGTGGTATTACATGCCTCTAACACTCCCCACCCCCATCCTCCCCACCCTACCCATCCCCCACCTACCCCCCACCCCCGAGCTCAGGAGGCAGAGGCAGGTGGATCTCTGAGTTCAAGGCCAGTGTGCTCTACATAGTGAGTTCTAGGCTAGCTGGGATGACATAGTGAGACTGTAAGACTGTAATAATATAGTGCAAGGTGGGACCTTTAGCGGGTCTCATGTTGAGTGAGGGACAAATGGTGGGTAAGAGACAGAGACCTGCAGACAAAACTTATGTGGAAAGGTTATTGGGGGGGGGGAGTAAGGGAGTAAGGGAAAGGAAGAGAGAAGGGAGAAAGAGAGATAGAGACAGAGGGCTGCCTCCTCAGAGAAACATCAGGAGAGAGAGAGAAAGTAGACAGAACTTGTCTCTTAAAGAGACCTTTGTACCTGCATATAGAACCAGGGTGCTGTCCCCAAGGGGTGGGGCCAAGTTTGTGTTTGCATGGATGATAACAGAGACTATGCCTTAAAAAAAAGTCAGGCAGTAATGGTACATACCTTTAATCTATCACTCAGGAGGCACAGGCAGATCTCTGAGTTTGAGGCCAGCCTGGTCTACAGAGTAAGCTACACAGAGAAACCTTGTCTGGGGGGGGGGGGGGGGGGGGGGGGGGGAGAGAGAGAGAGAGAGAGAGAGAGAGAGAGAGAGAGAGAGAGAGAGAATGTATGTATGTATCTAAGTTATTTTACCTTCAGGGATTATTTCGCTAATGTAGAAAAGGACTTGTAATTAAGCATGATGGAGAAGAATAGGAACAATTAGCTTGTTTTGTGTAGTATTATAGAGCCTCTATAGGAAACAGAAAATGCTTGAAAAAGTTGTTATCAAAGTAGATAGTATTATCATAGTAGATAGTAGTAGGTAGATAGGTTGATAGTAATGATAGTGAGATATCTTGTCTTATTTGTTTGGGATAATGCATGTGTGTATATATTTTGTTTTCTCCCTGAGGTACTTAAGGAAATGGCCCAGGACCTTGCCTGGAAAACACTTAACCACCAAGACTGAGCTTAACCTCCAGCCCAGAAAACATCTTGTTTGGCAAATAAAACCTCCAAAGTCTTAAGGTGTTTGGTTTGGAAGTATGACATTTATTAGCTAGCCATTAAAAGCCTCTAGTTTTAGGGGCTGGAGAGATGGTTAAGAGCACTGGCTGCTGATGCAAAGGTCCTGAGTTCAATTCCTAGCAACCACTTGCTGGCTCACAACCATCTGTAATGAGATCTGGTGCCATCTTCTGGTAGTGCAGGCATGCATGCAGGTAGAACACTGTATATATAATAAATAAGTAAATCTTTAAAAAAAAAAGCTTCTAGTTTTATATAGTTTTACAGCATTTCAGAAGTCCTGCTTTCTACATTGCAGCAGAGCATACATAAACTGTGTTTATATTCCAGTTCCAGGTTCTGTTGTTCCTATTCTCTTTATATTCTCTCTACTAACATAAGTTAGTGTGCTTGTGTTGTCAGATAGATGCAGTGACCAAGGAAGGGTTTAGAAGGAATCATGGAATTGTATTGTGGGAAAGGACCCACAACAGGAATACAGTCCATCTGGTATTGACAGTAGCTTGCCAGTCATAGCACTGATTCATTGGCTCTCTGCTGTTGGTTCCCCATGCCAGTGAGTGATCTCAGAAGTGTGAAATCAGGCAACTTTCCCCCTCCTTGAGCTCTTTATTATTGGAACTTGATTTTGCTTGTTTCATGTGCACATTCTATTTACTTTTCTTTCTAGTCCTAACTTTACTTTCTTGAGCTGTGCAGAGCCTGCCCTTCTGGTTTCAGGACTTTGACTAGAGTGGCAGCTCTGCATTCTGTTTAAGATTTGCCCTTGCCAAGGTGCCATAGCTTAGTGTTCCTTTTGTCTTTCTCCATTCAGGAGCAGCTTTAAATACCTGTAGCATTTTGTTACAAACTTTGGTGTTTGTTCTGATTCCTTTTTTATTAGCCGAGTGGAGTGGGGACATACTGGCATGGTGGCTCACACCTTTTATAATCCTAGCACTGGAGAGGTGGAAGCAATAAGATTAGATGTTCAGTGTTACCCTTTGCCACATAGTTAAATTCCAGGTTAACTTGAATTACATTACAGGACTGTGTCTTTAAACAAAAAGCTAACCTTAGGTATTTACAAATACCTGTCCTACAGAAATAAATGAGAGGATTATGTCTAGGGAACATGTGAACTGCTTGTCGAAGGTGACTTGTAGTGGTCACTCATTGTTGGCATTTACCTTTTTTTTTCTCCTGTTTTCCCCTTGCTGGAACCTTAAAATCTGCACTAAAAACTAGCAGGACAATTTGAAAATTCTCAAAAAGTAATCATTGATGTTCTCTGTGATTGTTCCATAGTTGCTTGCTCCCAGGCTTCTCAATTTAGTTATGAGAAGAATTGAAATTAACATTATAACTACTTAATTTTTGATCTGTTTTCCCATATAATGAATGAAAGATTCTGCTTTAAAAATAAGTATGCCAAAGATGTGTTTTTGTTTTTGTTTTTCATTGGCCAGGTGGCATTGCTGAGAATCTATCAGAGAAGCTGATTGGTGTTCTCTTTGAAGTTTGGTTACTAGCTTGCACCCGGTGCTTCCCAACACCTCCTTATTGGAAGACAGCTAAGGAGATGGTGGCTAACTGGAGGCACCACCCTGCAGTGGTGGAACAGTGGAGCAAGGTTATCTGTGCACTCACTTCCAGGTCGGTCATGGCCATCCTAATCCATCTAATTCTGTCTTTATGGAATACATTTTGAAAAGCCTGGACCCATCATTATTGTACTTTTGTAGACTGAGCCAATTTAAAAGAAATAAGCAAGTCAGGGAGGTGGCTCATGGCATAGGCATTTGCCATGCAAGCCTAACAACTTGAGTTTGATCCCCAGAACTCATGTAAAGGTGAAAGGAGAGAACAGATTCCACAGAGTTGTCATCTGACCCCTACATTGTGGTATGGTATGGTGATGTCTCATACTGTGTCTTTTAATTAGTTTTGATTGCAAAAGCCATATGTACTGATAATTGGAAAATGTAGAGTGAAAGAAACATCCTGTCACTTAAAAATGTTCTTTAATGTACTTTCCCCATTTAGTTCCCTTTTATTAAAAACAAAACGTGTGTGTGTTTGTCGGGGGGCACTGGAGAGATGACTCAGTGGTTAAGAGCACTGGCTGCTCTTCCAAAGGACCGGGTTCAATTTTCAGCACCCACACAACAGCCTACAGTTGTCTGTAACTCCAGTTCCAAGGGATCCAACACCCTCACACACATATACATGTAGGCAAAACAGCAATTCACATAAAATAAAAACAAATAAATCATTAAAAACATAAAACAACAAAAAACCAGTTTGAGATACATCTGTTTTTCATTTGCTTGATTTGAGTCATTTTAATTACATGTTTTTATTTGTAAATAATTTTTGAGGTTACATTTTTAGTTAGCTTTATAGTCTTATATAATTAATAATTTATATTTTGATAAATATGCTGTTCTGGGTGTTTTTTACTTTAGAAATTTTGTTGGAGGAAAACTTCATACAGATATATATATATATATATATATATATATATATATTATATTGATGTTTTACTAAGATAAAATCCTTAGATACAGAGTAATTGAGTCAAATGACTTTGAAAAGTCCTAGTACATATAGAATATTACTATTAATAAAGAAGTTGTTGAATTCAGTTAGCTTTTATGGTACATCATAAAAATGTACTGTATTTTAAACACATGAATACAAAGTTCTGAACTTCATATAAAGTTGTTGTGAATAAATTATACCTTAGTTGTATTGAAGGATTTACAGTAGTATCAATTTTTAAAAAATAATAGAAAGCTGGTTGTGGTAGCATATATCTTTAATCCCATCATTCAGGAGGAAGGAGCAGGCAGATCTCTTTGAGTTTGAGTCCACCTGGTCTACATAGTGAATTCCATGCCAGCCAGAGCTACATAGTTAAGGCCCTGCCTTAAAACAGGCAAAAAAAAAAAAAAAAAAAAAAAAAAAAAAAAAAACCCAACTGTCCAACCAAAACAACTAGGAAAAAATTTATACACTATTTTCATGTTTAATGATGTAATTATATAGGTACAGTAACAAAAATACTTAATTTATTACTTGTAAGTAATATAAACAAGTTAAATAGTGTGAATATTTCAGATAAAAGTTTATATCATCTTTTAAAAGCTGGAAATACCTTACAGTTTATCATTTTTATATATCAGGGCTGGCTTTCATATAGCTTTTTCACTTAGCTGAGGTATGTTAAATCTATTTTCTGATAAAGTGGTTGAATGTATGCTTAATTTTGTAAATAATGGACTTGGTAGCTGGGCCTGGTGGTACAGGACTATATGACCTTTGTTAATCAGGAAGAAATAGTAGGATCAGAAGTTCATAGCCAGCTTCTACAATTTAATGAGATCATGTCTCAAAATAAAAAAAAATTAAAATGAGCTGGGATTAAATTAAAATTACTCAGTGATAGAGTGCTTACCTGAATGTTTGAGCTAGTTCAGTTCTTTTTTTTTTTCTTTTTTTTTTTTGGTTTTTAGAGCCAGGGTTTCTCTGTGGCTTTGGAGGCTGTCCTGGAACTAGCTCTTGTAGACCAGGCTGGTCTCGAACTCACAGAGATCCGCCTGCCTCTGCCTCCCGAGTGCTGGGATTGAAGGCATGCGCCACCAACGCCAGGCTAGGTTCAGTTCTTAATACCATGAAAAGAAAAACAAAACCAAAATCTGAAAGAGAGAAATGAACTTAGTGGTGTGTGACTTTATTTTCCAGATTGCTCCGCTTTACATATGGTCCTTCATTTCCTCCATTTAAAGTTCCTGATGAAGATGCCAATCTGATCCCTCCAGAAATGGACAATGAGTGTATTGCACAAACATGGTTTCGATTTTTGCACATGTTAAGGTATTGTCATGTTATTTCATGTGTTTTTTTACCCAATAAGTATCTTAGGGCAAGACCCTCACTGCTTCTGTGGAAATGTAGCATTCGAGTGCTAAGTACAGTCCACTGGACATTGGTGCACGTCTGCATTGTGGAGCATGTCTGCATTGTGCATCTCCTGCTCTCCCCATTCCTGTGTGGATAGGTTGCCCTTGGCTGTTCTTGGAACCCTCTCTAGAAACTTCTCTTTCCTGTTGCTATATCTTAGATGATGATGATGTCTCTCCTAGGATTTTGCCACATTCTTTGGGGACTTCACCATGCTATGTTCCTTTCTTTGTCAGTACTGGTTCATCAATCTTGATCTCAGTTCCCTCCTCTAGTAGCCTCATTTAAACTTTCACTGAAAAATAGACCTTAAGATTTAAGAGTAAATCTCCCTCCCTTCTTGTTGTTTCTTTTTTACAAATGGCATTTATTGTGTGTATATTGAGTTGTAAATGTGGATGCAGATACTTGGCCGAGGCACATGTATGAAACCCTAAAGCCAACCTTGTAAAGTTGGCTCTCTCCTGCTTTACATGGGTTCTGTGGGTTGAACTCAGGCCATCATACTTGCAACATCCAGTGAATGGCAAGTGCTTTAGCCCACAACCATCTCACTGGCTCGATAAAATAAAAATTTTAGAAAGAGAACAGAAGAGGAAAAGGATAGTAGAAGATAGCTAGACTCTATCCAATATAAGAACTGTGGTATATCTAGGATCCACTTTTAAATTTTCCTTAAAAATATTTTTATTTATGTGTTTGTGCATGTGTCTCTGTGTGTGGGTGTATGGTGTGTATTTGGGTACCCTTAAATGGCAAAGAAAGCATCACATCCCTAGAACTTGAGTTACAGGCGGTTGTGAGTCATGATGTGGATGCTGGTAACCAAACCAGGGTCCTCTGGAATAGCAGTATGTACTCTTGACCATTGAACCATCTCTCCAGACTCTTTTTATTAGGTACTAGGAATTGAACTTGGCTTTGCACATGCTAAGCACTTAGACATACTTCCCTCCTTTATTTATGTTTTTGAGACATGGCCTTGCTGTGTAGCTCAGGCTGGCCTTGGGCTTACCATTCTTACCTTAGCTTTCTGAGTTCTGGCATTGAGCCACTATGCTTAGTTACCCTGCAGTCCCCTTTTTAAGAATCTTGCATAGCTAACAGAAGTATTTTATTTACAAAATTTGCATATTTCTTACATTATTACTGCTAAGGTAGTGGGAAGCTAGCCTTTTTTGTGTTGCTATATCCTTATATGAGTGAGACAGGAGCATCACAAGTTTGAAGCCAGTATGGGTTCTGTAGTGAGTTTCATACTAGTCCAAAACTTCATTGTAAGACCCTGTTTCCAAAAAAAATTTCTTGTAACTAAAAAATGTTGTATAATATTTTCTGATTTCATATTCCTAATTGATCTGTTAGGCTTTATCTTTCTTTGTTCTTGGGGTAATACACACACACACACACACACACACACACACACACACACACACCCCCCCCCCCCCCCCCCCCCCCCCCCCCCCCCGCTACTGGTGGAAGGGAGGTTACTGTGAATCCATGGAAAGCCCACACACACACACACACACACACACACACACACCCCCCCCCCCCCCCCCCCCCCCCCCCCCCCCCGCTACTGGTGGAAGGGAGGTTACTGTGAATCCATGGAAAGCCCTCATTAAGCTTTAAGAGGTAGCTGGAGAAGACTCAGACTTCTCTTTCTCAGTTTTTTCTTTTCTTTTATTTGTTTTATTTATTTTTCAAGATGGGGTTTCTCTGTGTAGCTTTGTAGACCTGGTGGCTGGCCTCAAACTTACAGAGATTTGCCTGCCTCTGCCTCCCTAGTGCTGGGACAAAATGCGTGTGCTACCACTGCCTGGCTTCTTACTCCTCTTTTATATACACACTATCTCTGGCAGACTGTTTCCCCTGTTTCTGGTTTCCTCTGCCTTTCAGGAGTATGTGATTCATACCGCTGAATACACACACATACTACTGAATCACATACTCCTGGAGTATGTGACACTGTGGGACTCCAGTTCTAGCTCTTTTAGTTACTGGGGCACTCCCTTTGCTCAGACTCTCAAAAGAGGTACATTAGGCAGGTGGTGGTGGCGCATGCCTTTAGTCCCAGCACTTGGGAAGCAGATGGATCTCTGTGAATTTGATGCCAGCTTGATCTACAGAGTGAGTTCCAGGACAGCTAGGGCTACACAGAGAAACCCTATCTCGAAAAACAAACAAACAAACAAAAACAAAAAACAAACAGAAAGCCAAAAACCACCCGCCCCCCCAAAAAAAGAGAGAAATATACATTAGGCTTTTGTTAATTAGGCTAAAGTGATCATGGGCTTCTTATAGGCCTTTGGATAGACCCCGTTTGGATAAGTTTTATGTCTTTCTTTAAGTGAGCTGTGGATGACTAAGAGGATCACTCAGGAGGGGCCACTCTGTCCATTGGCAAATATCCTGGAAAGAGGGCTGAAAGCGTTGTAGAATACAAACAGAATCTTGTTCAGTATGGTAGCTTCATCTTTTTCCTGGAAAACAACAACGGTTCCCATTGATTTTTCTAGTGTTATTCTCACTTGCACTTGTTGGAATGTCCAAACATACAAATGTTTATATTAAAATTTTCTTAATTTTAACAGTTTTTTATTATTTAGTTCTAAACATTAGAAAAAATATTCTGCCCTTCTCTGTCTGTCTGTCTGTCTGTCTGTCTCTCTCTCTCTCTCTCTCTCTCTCTCCCCCCCCTCCCCTCTCTCTCTCTCTTCTGGACAGGGTTTCTCTGGAATTCCCTCTGTAGACCAGGCTGGGCTTGAACTCACAGAGATCATCCACCTGCTTCCCCAGTGCTGGAATTAAAGGTGTGCACCGTCACTGCCCATCAGGAAAAAAAAGATTCTATAGAGTTAAAACTTTCTTGTCCTACTTTTTTCTCATTCTATGAAGAAAGTAGGTTCTTGTTTTAAAATAAATGAAAGAACAAGCTGCTCATGATGGCTCACACCTTTAAACCTAGCACTTGGGGGAAAGAAGCAGGAAGGCAGAGTCTGGGCAGCAGACAGAACTAGATCTGTGAGTTGAAGGCCAGCATGGTCTGCATAGACAACTTTGGGCCAACCAGGGCTACATAATGAGACTATGTCTCAACAAACAAATACATTGTATTATAGTCTCAAAGAATTAATAAAAACATTATTTACAAAGCAAATGAATAAACCTGCAAGCCTATAGAGAAACATTCATGATAGAGTTCCTAGCTCATCAAATAGTCACTTTTCTCTTCGCATCAAAGAAATAGGCACAAATAGTCCTGTTCTTTATTTCTTGTTTTGTTTCTTTTTCTCTTTTCTTTTTCTTCCTTCCTTCCTTCCTTTCTTTCTTTTTTCTTTTCTTTTTTTTTTTTTTTTTTTTTTTGAACTCACTCTATTCTATAGACTAGGCTGGCCTCAAACTCAGAGATCTGTCTTTTTCTGCTTCTCAAGTGATGGGATTAAAGTTGTGTGTCAGCATGTCTGGGCAATAGTCCTAATTCTTAAATTGGATTGCATGTGTTTTTATTGCTGTAGACATTTCTAAGTGTGTAATGGATTTTTTTTTTCTCCTTTTTAATAGTAATCCTGTGGATCTGAGTAACCCAGCCATTATAAGCTCAACCCCCAAGTTTCAGGAACAGTTCTTAAATGTGAGTGGGATGCCACAGGAGCTGAGCCAGTACCCCTGTCTTAAACATCTGCCTCAGATATTCTTTCGTGCCATGCGTGGAATCAGCTGTCTGGTGGATGCATTCTTAGGTGAATTTTGTGTATGTTTCTTAGATGTTTGAGAGCTGTGTGTAGATATTCTACAGCGTAATGCTGGAAGCTCTTAGGAAAGCCCAGAGAAAGAGGAACAAACTTCATGATAAATAACAATCTAGGGAAAATTATTTTCAGCGAATTGTGATAGATAGAATGCTACTGCCTTTATGTAAATAAACAAAAATACCATAAAAAAGACAGTAACCTAGTAGATAAAAACACAAATGATTCGCAAAACATTGTAAATTGTAAAACTCATTGTACGAGTTACCCTCAAAAATAGTTTAAAATGCTCTGGTGACTGTTTTCATAGATATCTTTTTTTTTTTTTTTTTTTTTTTTTTGTAGGTATTTCTCGACCGAGATCAGACAGTGCTCCCCCAACACCCGTGAACAGATTAAGTATGCCTCAGAGCACTGCTGTGAATACCACACCACCACATAACCGGAGGCACAGGGCTGTTACTGTGAATAAGGCCACCATGAAGACAAGTGCAGTAAGATCATTCAGCATCATTTAGCTTTATGAAGGTTAACTTTTATAAGTCCCAAACTCTTCCAACTTTTCATGGCTGTGGACACTTACTTGTGTTCTTCTGCTAGGTTACTACTGTTCACACCTCGAAAGTCCAGCACCAGGCATCCTCTACTTCTCCTCTGTCAAGTCCAAATCAGACTAGTTCAGAGCCCAGGCCACTGCCTGCCCCTCGGAGACCAAAGGTTAACAGCATCTTGAATCTCTTTGGATCATGGTTATTCGATGCAGCATTTGTTCACTGCAAACTCCATAATGGAATAAACAGAGACAGCAGCATGACTGGTAAATATGCCCAGAAACATGTAGTCATTATTCCCTTTCTGTTTCTTTCTCTTTAGTCTTTCCTACCTGCAAGATTAATACAGCTCTTGAAAGCACCCTGTTTCTCACCAAGCAATATGTTGTGCTTAACCCCTTCCAGCTGAACCAATAGAAACTTGTGAAGTATTCCTATCTGTCCTTTTTATGTATACTTTATGAAGTTTGGTCCTTTGCCTGGTTTTATTAGGGACTCTTCAGGTTAGCCACTTTGTGTTGAATCAAATTCCATTTTTGTAGGTGACCTGGAAATTCCCTTCATGTCAGCCAGGATAATAATAGATTTATGAACAATTAAAGGTTTTGAGTAAAAGTTTATTCATTGAAATGTTTTCTTAGATTTTTCACAACCATTTAATCATCATTACATGTAAATATCAGGAATTTTCTGTTTTCTTAATAAACCAATCCCAGTATCTTCATTGGATTTACTATAGAATGAAATTGTCTAAATGAAATTGGATTTATTTTGTCAACTTACTACTATGCTTAGAGCTAGTGCCAGATGGATGGGTAAGTCAGGGCAGAATGTTTGGAATGGTTATCATCTGTCTTGCACAGCTGAATAATAATAATGGCTGGTATTTATTGAGTTGCTGTTAGTGTGTGCCGGGTCCCATGTTTATGCATTAATTAGTATATTAGTTGTTTTCTAAATAAATACTTTTCTACAGGAGTTGGAGACAGATTGAGGTAAAAAGATTTCTGATAGTATTACTTTCTGACAGTTTTATTCTCCAGAGGACACTGTTGAATTCAAGGATAAAATTAAGTGTTCATAAGGGTCTCTGCTTTTTCTCAGAAACTCATTCACAGCTAGGTTTATGTCTGTGAATATTTTGTAAGTGTAATTATTTTGGATGTTCTTAGAAACTTTTAAATAATTTAGAAAAGTTTTAAGTATGAAGTTGTTATGGAATATGAGGCTGCATGAGTGAGTTTGAGATTCTTTTGCTTGCTTTATTTTGTTCAAATTCAGGCGCTTTATATTTTTCCATTTTTACATTATGGTTTTATTCATGAGCTCCATTAAATTAAAAGTTTTAAAAACCATTCATGGGTATATTTTCATTATCTTATGTGCTATATGTTTTGAATTTTCTGAACCATGTTTATTAATTTATATAGTATTGTCCAGAGTGAGTTAGCCTTTAATTTTTTGATAAGGTGTGTTTCTTACAATGTAACCTAACTGTTGAGTAGGGAGCTGTTGGCTTTGCAAAAAATCTCTGAGTCTAGAATGGCTTAATCTGCTGCTTTCTGGTAGGCTTGTATAATGAGTATCTAGAGCTTTCTATCTCTGGGGAGTTTGTAACAGCTTTGTTAGTTCACTGTACTAGAAGAATTCAAATGACAAGTGAGCAACATCTCACTTTCCCTTCTTAAAGGAGAGACATTCCTTCTGTCTGTGTTCAGAGATGCTAAAGGCTGTTACATTACCCAGGAGATTTGAGGTGTCCAAATAGTTAAAGTAGATTTAGAGTGCTCTTGGGTGCCAGTCTGGAAGCCTTGGATGGGAGGTGGGGGGATTGGGGTATCGTGTGTTTTCTAAGTACTGGCTGCCATCAAGGAATTCTGCCATGCAGTTCACCTTTAACTCAAGTATTTGCTTCTTTGAACTTGTTAGCTTTCAATTTACCTGATGCACTGTGCTTTGTAAAAGTAACATTGAGCTGGGAAGGGTTAATGAACTAAAAATTTTGATGCACGATATGGGCAGTTCAAAACCTCAATTCTTTGTAGCTATGTAATTTTCTTTGTTCATTGTTTTGCATGATACAAAAATCATAATTTTGGACCTGAATGCACAATTTCCTATGTTTTTGAACTAGCTTGTGGTATCATAAACTTTAAATCTAACTTTTAAAAAGCTAAAAAGCTTCTTAATTTATTGTAAAATTTCACCATCTTTAAAGTATTTTATAATTACTGCTGTCCTTTGATTTGTTTCCATTTATTTCTATTATCTTGCAGCATCTTTTATCCAAATTCTTCTTTCTTATAAATCTTGTAAGTAGGAACCAGAAGCTTCTCCTTAATTGCAGTCATGTTTTTATTTTTTCCATAATTCCATTAAAATTTTTGATTGTCATTGTCTATTGTAGTTTTTGCACTTGGGAAGGAAAATATTTTTTCTGTGTTTTGAATGGGGAAGATTGTTGGCAAAAGCAAATTAATCTGCCTGAATCAATCCCATTATTTCTGTATACTAGTCTGGTCATGTCATGAATTCCAGGACTTTGCACTAACTGTGTTTTGGCTTTTTTCTTTTCTTTCTTTCTTTCTTTCTTTTTTTTTTTTTAAGCTTTAAGCTTATTTTTATACAGATTTAGTGTTTGATTTGTATGCATTCTGCATGTAGTGTTTTCCAAATGTATTATTGCTGGATAGCTTATTCAGGACTAAAATGGCTCATGGGAAGTTGCATAAAGATTTATGCTTGACTCTGCATTTATTAAGCCTCCTATCATTACAAAACAATTTAAACATTTTATGTAGAGTAATAAAAGATTTCAGAGTGATCTGTGTGCTGTGAAATCTTTTGTTAAAAGCAACTTTCGAAGGGCTTCTGTTTTGGTGACAATGAATGACCATGATAATCCTCCTTATCAACCCAGTTTTCTGATTTATCAACCTCAAGTTTGCTGCTGTCTGTGGTTGTTAAAATTCATTCTCATTTGCTTGGTTCGGCAGCTCTTTGGTGTGTGTTTTGGAGCTGGGTGGGTGGTGGGAATGCCCTCTCTTCCTCCCTTACTTAGTTCTCATCCTTACCCTGCCATATTCAAACTAAGAATTGCCCTCTTAATTACTTTGTCCATTTTAGTTAATTGTATAAATTGTAATTGCTACTCTTCTTAATGGTTAAGCATCATTCTATAGAAGGAGGAAAAAAACCAAAATAATAGAAAAGGCAAATTCTGTATATATCTGTATGCAGATGTATACAAATGTAGTCTTCTGACTAGAAATTCAATGAAAAAAATCCTTTTTGTAGAATCTGTTAAGTTGACAAAGTGATTGTAAATTGTTACCCATTTCAAAGAAGATATCAGAGAGCCCTTTTAAAAATATAAATTAAGACATAGTTGCTAAACAAAAGCATTATTGGATTCTATTGAAGTAGTTATGTAATGACACCAGTATTTGATCTTTGTGTCCAGGGTCCCATGAGCCTATTTGGCATTTTGACAAAAGTAATAAAATGCTCCTTTTCTCTCCCCAGCCATTGCAACACAAGCTAGCATGGAGTTTCGGCGAAAAGGGTCCCAAATGTCCACAGACACCATGGTTTCCAATCCCGTGTTTGATGCAAGTGAATTTCCTGATAACTATGAAGCAGGAAGAGCTGAGGCTTGTGGGACATTATGTAGAATTTTTTGTAGCAAGAAGACTGGAGAAGAGATTCTGCCAGCTTATTTATCCAGGTTTTAGAATTTTTTGTTCATTTTTGCATTTATATCATTTGATAGTGAAACTCTTTTGTGGCATGGTTTGGTAGGCTAAATCAATAAGCTGTTGTTGGTCTGAAATGCCTGCCGGTGTCTTAATTTAATCGAAGCTTGCTTGAATTCTTCTCTCTTACCTGCCTCATCAGATTTGATAAAGACGTCTATGTTTCTATTCTAGAGCTATTATTTATTCTATCATTTATAAATTCTGGAGAGATTGGAAGTACCACAATAGTTTGTTAATAGATTTTTGGCACAACATTAGGTTCTATATACAGTCCAGAAATAAGCCAGCTGTGAATCTTTACTCTAAGGAGTTTAGTGACTGTGGTGAATAGGTTCATACAAAAATAACAGTGATTCAGTAGGAACCAGAACTTGGCAGGAGAGAGACACAGATAAATGGTTTTGAGTGTTTGGAGGAAGCAGCACTTACTTAGCCTAGAGGGCTCAATAAAGAGTTCTGGCATAGTATTAGATGTTTATGCTAGATTTAGAAAGGATGAGTAGTGTTTAGATTGTTGGGAGGCTGGGTAGGATTATTCTTTCCAAATTTCTGGCTTTCACCATCTGTGAGTGATTCTCCATCCAGTTTAACTGTCCAGTCCAGAACCTAGCCATCATCGGCTTCTGCTTCCTCTTGAGTTGATTATTCAACCCCTGCCTTATAGCATTTGACTCTCTTACTTCTTTCTGCACTCTGTTCTCACCATGGCACTTCAGACTTTGTTATTCTTCCTAAATTTATAATTTTTGATTCTGCTTTGCTCTTCTCCACTACTTGTTTATGAGGCTGCTGAAGTAAGGTTACAATCAAGTAGAATTTGAGATTCGTGTACTGCTAGGTGCTCAGGAAACTTTAGGTCAATTGACTCCCAGCAGAGGGAACCAAGTCTGAAACATAAGGCATAGAAAAACATGGTGTGTACTGGTCAGAACAGCCTTAACCATGGGCTCTTATATTTAAATCTGGTTTAAGTCAGTGAATAAATTACAAGATGCTGGTGATACTTAACGAAGTCTAAGGTCAAGCAGTACAGTGAGGAATATAAAAATTAGGAGACAGGGACTGGAAAGTGTTCAGGGACCAGAGCAACTCTCCTGCTTCCTTTGCTGCTTGTCTCCTAAAACTGCTTTTTTTCTTCTCTGTAGATCATTTTTCTTGTACTGCAGTGTGCTTCTAGTTCCTACTTGTCATAGCTTTGGTTTAGAAGACCAGTGAGGTCAGTTAACATTTCTGAAATGTGAGATTCGTGGGAAAGAAGATCTGATTAATTAGGTGCTACATATAGCTGTGAGAGAAGGTCATATAGGGTGTTGGAGTTTACTCCTCACAAGTAGGACCCATTTCACTGATTGAGACCCTGGACTGGAGAGATACTCCAAATTACATCAGTAGCAGTAAGGGAGAAAGCTATGAACATGAGCTTTCTGTCTAGTCCAGAAGACTGGGTGAGGGATCATGGGAAAAACTCAGCAGGTTTGTGAGAATACAAAGTATTTAAGTTTCAGTGTTTCATTTCATGGGCTTGTGGGATATTCAAGAACTGCATATTAAGTGCCTGTTTTTAGTTGAGTTCTATATACAGAAGATAGATTGAAATGAGTTGAACAGGTCCCAGTGAATGAGAAGATTGTTTCAAAAGAGTTTTGCAGAAAAGAAAGAAGTATCTAGTGGTAAGAAGAATATGGCAGTGCAGTTAATCTTGAATAGCAGGTGCCTGAATGTTTAGTGGCTCGCTTGGGGCTTGTAGGAAAAGGAAGATATGTTCAGGTAGATTCCTTGAAAGACTCTTTGCACAATTTTCATGTTATGAATGCAGAGTTTAGTGGGGTTTCTTTCTGTCACTAACCCCTCAGAATGAGTAGAGAAAGAAAAAGATACAAACTCACCTGTTTCCTAAGATTTTGAATACTACAAAAATGTATTGCTTTAGAATTCAATTAATTTATTCTAGTAATTTAATGATAAGTACCCAAACATTTGTTTTGTTATGGGTACCTCATTTGTAGGCACCTGTAATTTGATTTACAAAATTAAAAAATTTAAAAGTGTAATAGATATGGATCTTAGGATTCTGAATTGTTAAATCCTACTAGTAGTACTTTTAAAGTCTGTAAACTAGAGTGAAGAGTGGACAAAGGCTCTTCAGATAACTATGTAGAAAATATTAATATTTGGAAACATTTGATTAGCAGTTTGTTTAAAATTTTTTTCTTGCTTTCCTAGATTTTACATGCTTTTAATTCAAGGTTTGCAGATAAATGATTATGTGTGCCATCCTGTCTTGGCCAGCGTTATTCTAAACTCCCCTCCTTTGTTCTGCTGTGACTTGAAAGGGATTGATGTTGTGGTTCCTTACTTTATTTCAGCTCTTGAAACCATTTTGCCTGACAGGTAAGCTGCCATTTTGTACTACTGTGTCAGTTGTCTGGTTTGATTTGGTCTATTCTGGTACTTCCTCTTGTTTGCTAATTTATCCTATCTAGTTGTTTTCACAGTCCAGTGGGACCCAGGCTACATTAAATTGAGTAAAGAACATCCAAACCCTCCAGTCCCTAAATGCCTTCAGTTCTGATATGTCCATGGGCTTCCTGGATCCTTTCTGGGTTGGTCTAAATGGGTCAGAAAAAACCAACCAGAGGTCCTACTGTTAAGATGTAGGCCTTACATTTTCAGTCATCTTCTAGCATAATTCAGTAGTAGTGTAACACAGAAGTTCTCATGTATACAAGTAATGGTGTAACATGGAAGTTCTTATGTATACAAGTAGCAATGTTACTTAGAAGTTCTCGCCGGGTGGTGGTGGTGCATGCCTTTAATCCCAGCACTCGGGAGGCAGAGGCAGGTGGATCTCTGTGAGTTTGAGAACAGCCTGGTCTACAAGAGCTAGTTCCAGGACAGCCTCCAAAGCCACAGAGAAACCCTGTCTCGAAAAAAAAAAAACAAACAAAAAAGCAAAAAAAAAAAAAAAAAAAAAAAAAAAAAAAAAGACTTCTCATGTATACAAGTAATAGTGTAACATAGAAGTTCTCATATATACAATGCTTGGGTTGTGGGGAAAAATGGCCTAGTATATATTTGGCAGTAAGTAATACTAATAGCTTTTTATTTCTTGGCAGAGAACTCTCAAAATTCAAAAGCTATGTAAATCCAACAGAATTGAGAAGATCCTCCATTAACATCCTGCTTTCTTTGTTGCCCCTCCCTCATCATTTTGGCACAGTCAGATCTGAGGTAATGTCTCTTTAAATATTACACTTCCTCACATTTTTTGTTTGATGATGCAAGGTCTTGCTAGGTAGCCCAGTTTGGTTGCAAACTTGAAACCCTTCTGTCTCATTTTCCTGCCAACCATTATTAACATTTTTGTATGCTAATTTAAGTCAAATTGAGCTTTTTTTTTTCCAACTTTTTTATTTGAATTTGAAACAGGATTGTTTTACATGACAATCCCAGTGCCCTTTTCCCACCCGTCCTCCCGTACCCACCCCACCTAAAACCTTATCTGTCACATATCTTTTCTGCTCCCCCCCGATGGTGAGGCCTTCCATAGGGTGTCATCAGAGTCTATCGTATCCTTTGGGATAGGGCCTAGGCCCACCCCCATGTGTCTTGGCTCAGGGAGTATTCCTCTATATGGAATGGGTTCCCAAAGTCCACACCTAAGCTAGGAATAAATACTGGGCGTCTACAGGAGATCCCATAGATTTCTGAGGTTTCCTCACAGAAACCCATGTTCCTGGGGTCTGGATCAGTCCCATGCTGGTATTCCAGCTATCAGACTGGGGAGCAAGAGTTCCCGGATGTTCAGGTCAGGTGTTTCTGTGGGTTTCACCAGCCTGGTCTGGACTTCTGTGCTCTTCACTGGTCCTTCTCTGCAACTGGGTTCCAGTTCAGTTCGGTGATTAGTTATGGGTGTCTGTTTCTACCTCCACCAGCTGCTGGATGAAGGCATATAAGTCAGTCATCAATCTCATAATCAG